AGAGTTTGCTTTTTTCTGGTGTCTGTATTAGTGAGTGTAAAGCAGTGAATTGCCTGTGCTGTTGGCTGATAATGCGTCACAGAAGAGCTGCCCTGGTTATTGCGCATGGTTTAATATTTCTATCACACTGGGAGCAATGGCTGCTTTCAAAATGAAGAGTTTGGGAAAGATGGATCTCCTGGCAATTTCCATCTACGCCTGAAAGACACGGTGGCAGTGAGCAAGTTGCATTAAGAAGTTGGTAAAATGAAACAAATAATCTCTTACAGATGTATGAAGGCACAGAGAAGTGGGCTGAGCCTTGGAAAGCATTGATACTTTTGCTCATCATAGCTCCCCCAGTTCTTTCTTACTGCTATTGGGTTTTTACCCTCAAGGAAAAGTGGCATTTGTGAGGTCATCCCAAGTGCAATGCCTTCGGCTGCTCTGGTTCATCTGGTGTCAAGTGCTGCCGCCCAGATGCAGCTTCAATCAGAAGCTGGGGTAGCATATCCTACAAGGACCCTTCAGGTTCCTCCTGAAGGGAGGTCAGGATGGTGCCTGATGTCCATTAGAGAACTGCAATGGCAGCTCGAAGTAAACTTGTTCTTGATCAGCCTTAAAATATTTTTCCCACTGTCACATTGCAAATGATCCAGTGATCTACCCAGAACATATGAAAGCTAAACAAATCATGTAACACAGTTCAGAGGTTTGTTGTAGGGCTTTAAAGGAGCTTCCTGGAACATCTGTGACCCCCCTACCAAAACAGACTTGGAAGCCTTGTGCAAGAATTGACAGAATTTAAAAAATAAAAAAAGAACAGTTGACTTCCATGTTATATCTAAAGCTGGAAAGTAAATTCTGCATTACTGTGCTCTGGTCCTTTCCCAAAGCGCTGGTGACCACCTCTTTGCAGAGAAGAGGATCACTGCTATCCGCAGGTATTCACTGCAATAGCTGCTCAAGAGCAAGTTTACTGTGTTGCTTCTGTAGCCCAAAGGTTTGGATAATGTGCCTTGTAGTAGCCTGGCTTTAGGTGGTGCCATTGTCATTGTGTGGTCTGAGCTGGGTCACGGATCACCGTTTCAGAGGAGGAGGACTTGGTAAACCTTCCCTCTTCCTTGCAGCCACCCCTGGGGACTGTGGTTTCTTGGGAATTTTGTCTCTCTATCCATGTTTTCTCCTCCTTTGTTGAATCAGCCTTTTTCTTTGGTGAACAGCAATTAACTCGCTATGGCTTGATAGGGAGGATGTCTTGTAGAAGCCCAAAGGAGCAACACTCGAGTCCTGTTTGATGTGGGAAGTTATCTTGCTCATACCTGTGTGTATGGAACAAAGCAGAGCAGTTGGCAAAGACCCCAGGGAGCTAGACTGAGTCTTGTTCAGATCAAGATTGGCCCACCTCAGAACAGATGGGGACTCTGGTCATCTTACTGCTGTGTTGTTTTTCTTTTGGGGGGGTGTATAGAAAGCAGTCATCTAGAGAGGCAAATCTACTTGTTGCATGCACACTTCAGCAGGCAAACCTTTCTCCTTTTAGTTTCTCCTTTGATGTTAAATCTCCCTTTGGATGCCCCTACTGAGCATCTCACGGCTTCACATCCATAGCTGATGGCAAGAGCATGGTAGTTTGCTGTCATCCACACAAACACTGTGCTGTGCAGCACCCAGCTAGTGCATGACCTGTGCAGTCCAAAGGCTCTGTGGCTGGTTTGCATTTCTTGATTTAAAAGCACCATGTCTTTCATACAGGCATGTGTGTGCCTAAGAACAAAGTCACAGTGTCTTGTCTTCCAGCAGACAGGACTTCCCCTTGCTCAAATTCACTTGTGTGCAGAGAGCAGGGAGCTGGCAGTCCTGCTGTGTGCAGGCAAGCTGCATGCACATTTTGTATAGGAGGGGCTTTTCAGCCTCAGCCTAATTTTAGCTATAGGATATGTCTGGAAGCTAAAGTTGTTAGCAAAGGTTTTTTCTATTAGCAATTTCCCAAAGTATTTCCCATGCTGTGTACACATTTACATAACCCACACCCCTTTTTTTTTTCTGTCTTACAGCTTCTGACATGAAGAAAGATATAGAGTCTTTAATAGCCCAGGAAAAAGCAGAGATCGTTGCCAAGTATGAGAAGGTACCAACCTTGTGTTTCTCCCCATCATGCTGGCTAAGGATGAAGCTGTTTTATTGGTCAGGGTTGCTCTGAATAAGAACTTCTGCATCCCTGCAGGCATCACCCCAGTAACCCTCATGCCATCAGGCTTTGTGCCAGCTCTCCCTACCTGCTTCTGCCTGCACATCCCTTCTCACCACATCCCCAGAGTTTCTCACAAATCCCTTGTATGCTCAGCACAGATACCAAAAGGTCCTGGTCTTCCAGTGCATCAGTGTTTCCTAACACCAGGATGGCTTATGCCTGACAGCACTAGTTTCTCTGATATACAGCCCTTCCCAGCCCATAGCAGAGGCACACTGGGACGCTGGATAGGCTGAACTTGCACATTTTTCTCTTGCTTGCATTGTGTTTGTCTCTTTAGAGCAAGTTTTGGTCTCCTCACTCTATGCCTTTTAGCGTGCAGAGGAGAAGGGATGCAGGCACTGGGCGTGGGATGTAGGCACTGGGGCAGCTCACAGGTGTTCTTTCTTCTTTCAGGGCAGGCAGGAGGGAGCTCAGATTGACCTATGGGAAGATGCTGATTTTACACTGTATAAAGTTACAGACCGGTTTGGATTCCTGCAGTAAGTCCTCCTGCCCTCTCTGACCCACATGTCTGTGCGTCCATCTGCACCGAGCATGGCAGACCCATAAACTGCTCTGTGGCTTGGCTTGATCAGTCCCAAATGCAGGAGGAAAGACTAGATGTGCCTCCTCCCTCAACCACACATGTTCAAATACTCTGATGCTTTGAATCTGCTGCAAGGCAAGACTCAGAAATGGTTTTGCATTTGCGAACCATTTTGCAATGGTTCACAAGCCTGACGTCAGAAGGTGCAGGTTGGTGCTCCTGTGCTTCCATGAAGGCCCGTGGCCTGTTGCAGAGGGAGATGGTCTTGTGTTTGCACCTGATGATTCAGAGAGATGTAGGAAGAGATGAGAAAAGATAAATGGTCATTCTCAGTTCCTTTAGGAAATCCCCATCGTAAGCAGGGCACAGATGATTTAGATGACCTCTGCTTGGGAAGAATGTTTAAAAGAACTGTTTTTATTCCAAATCTGAACAAAAAGTTGTTATAGTAGGTCTTTTTTAGTACAGGAGGGGGGGTTCAAAGCAATTGCTCTCCAGAGATCCTCCCTCCCTCCCTGACCCGTTCTGTAGGGTGGTGGGGTTTTGTCTGGTGCTTCCTTTGTCCTTTTCTCATCGGGGACAGCTGTAGGAAAGGCAGGAAGCCCCTGAGCCATATCTCCTTAGGTGCCCAAGGTGGTCCCCGAGCTGCAGCATCCCGAGCACTTGTCCACACCCTTTCTTGCCCACAGAGTAACCGGTGACCCCTTGCTTTTCCAGCGAGCAGGAGCTGCCAACCCGCACCGCCTTGGAAGAGAAGGTGAGAGCTGCCAGCTCTGTCGTCATGGGTATCGATCAGATCCTTGTCACACCAGCTGGGGAGGGGATGGGTTTTGAGGAAACAAATGTGCACGTGAGAACGAATCCGGCGAACAGTGTCCACTGGTCGTTGCTGCTCACACAGGCATGGGAACTGCACATTGCCCAGCTGTTGGAGCTTTTATTTTGCTGGGTCAGGTATCTCCCTTTATCCATGCTGCACTGAAATTGCACCTCTTAAAGCAGTTTGGGGTTTTTCCCTCTGCTTTGGCATAGTGCTTAGCAGCTGTGGCTTGAAAAGGGGAAAGCAGTGGAGGTCATAGGTAACATTATCTCCATCCTTATCTTCCCTGAGCTGGGAGTGTGTCCTCTGTTAGGATCCTGCTAACTGGGACCAAATAGCATCTCATTTCTGCCTGTCTGATACGATGATACGATTTGAGGCTAGCTGAACCTGGAAAGATATTTGTTGTCAAGGAATAGTCCTCTTAGAAATGCTTTCTCTACATTAAGCCTGCGTCTCTCATCATTTTTACCAGTGCTGTTTTAATTATCATGGGTTGAAATTACCAGTTCCTGCAAGCACTTGTCATTATTCCTATCTCCAGTGTGAGGTCTTTGCATAGAAGTTTACAGATAAAGTTTTCAGGAGATGTCTTCTGGGGCTTTTTTTCTTAAATTTGTCCTGTCTTCTTCCCCCTTGCACCAGCAAAAACAGCAGGAAATTGAACGTGTGGACAAGTGGCTAAAGATGCTGAAGAAATGGAGCAAATACAGAAACAGTGACAAGGTAAGGAGGAAAAGAAAGAGCATGTGTCTAGAGGATGGGGAGTAGTGCATCCTTGCAATGAGTCAGGCTTTTAAAAAGTTGATACAGAAATCGGAGATCACAGGTAGAATTAGGCAATATTTTCCAGTTAGTCTTTAATATTTTAAGTCTTTCCTTGAAGTTGGTGGGGGAAAAGACAAGGAAAAAATCCTGTTCTGACAAGCATACTTTAAGAAATGGTTTCCTAAATGCTGCTAGCACATTTGCACTTCTGCTACACTGTGCAAGCAGGAGCACAGCAGCGATGTTCGTGTGCCTAGCTGGGTCCCTTCCCTGTGAGAGCAGGGGTCATTGCATGCCGCAGGTCGTTTCGATGTCTCCACCACCTGGGAATCGCATGAGAGATGTGACCAATACAGTTCAGACAATGTTCTTAGTATATTCTTTTTCTATCTTGTATTTTGATAGCTCTTTTATTTGCTTCTAGCTGTGCCTATGAGAAGCTGCTTAGGTGTTAGATTGTGTGCACCTATCTCTGTAAATCAAGGATATGTCCCAATTACAAACTTCTTGAAACAGAAAACCCTTAAACCTAATGACAGGAGCCTTGTTGGGTAGGGGGAGGAGCATTATCCCTGACCTGCTCTGCTTATGGCACTCTACACAGGGGAGGGTCTTGAAGCCCAGAGTCACTTTGTCACCATGGCTTTTGCAGCCTTCTTGTTTGGCAGGAGGAGCAGGGTGTTCAGTTATATTGCTTTTAGATCCTGATGAGAGTCCGCTGGAAAAACGTGAGCTCAATTGAAAGGCTGTGCAGAGGATATCTGCATAGCTGCAGGGGGGACATTGAGCAGAGCACCCCCTCAGCTGGCCATCCAGAGTGATGTCAGGTTCAGCCAGCCAAAGACAGCTGCAGTCTTGTCCTTTTTTAAAAACAAAACAAAAACAACCCATTATCTTCATTTTACAGCAGGGATGGAGTGGAGATGGGCTTGGGATTTTACAATCCTTCTGTTCACTTCAGGGTGGTTCTAATTATTTTGTTCATCAGTACTCCTCCACAGGCAAAAAGGGCTCTCCCATGGCTTTGGTTTTTCTAATTAGAAGTTAGCACTAGCTGGTTAATGGCCTTGTGGGTAAAACAAATTCCAGCAGAGTGCAGGGAATTCCTTGAAGTCCTGGAGGATGTTTGGGATGGGTAATGAGTGTTTTTAAAACACTTTGGCTTCCCTGGGTCAGTTGGTGAGGGGTGTGTGAAGTGGTAGTGATCCCCATCTGTCTTTTTGATTTACCCTGATAACTAGTGGGTGTTAAGCACACTGCAGCTGATGTTGCTCAGGTCTGTTGGCTGGCAAGAGGCTAGACCAGCAAGTGGGGTTTGAAGGTCTTTGAGTCAGAAAATCACAGAGCTCTTGTAATGGAATAAATGATGCTATTTATAACAGCCCGTAAATGGTTGAAGGCACAGACATGGCATTGTCCCCATGCTAGGGGACTGAAAACGGCTGTCTCCCCCTCCCAGCAAACAAGTGGCCCTAGGCAGGGAAGGAGCAGTCTGGTGACCCCAGGAAGTAGAAAGGAGTTTCAGTCCCATCCAGCCTAACACTCTGCTGTCTTGCACCAGTGCAAGTGCAGGCAGGAAGGTCTGTGCATTGGAGCAGCCATGTAGTGTTAAGTGCAAAAACCTTGACAGGCACAAAAAGAGTACTTTAAAAAACAATAAAATCAGGTTGTATCTTTCATATCCTTCACCTGGATGTGCAGGTGACCTCTTGTGTCAGGAGCATGGAAGCTGCTCAGGGATCCCTGCTGCCATGCAGCTCAGACATGGCATTTCAAGGACCTTATGCTGAGAGCACAGTCATGCCCTTCAGATGGTTATAGGTTTTTTTTTCTATCTAAAGTAAGTGTGACATGCCCTTGATCTGATTTTTTCCTAAAGCACAGTGGGTTGGTTTTGTTCCTTCTCTGAGCACTCAGGCTGTCATATCTGCATTGCACATTTCCTTCAGGTTTGTTTTTGCCACTTTCTGACGTGATGGAAGCCTGAGTGTCACGAGACAGCAGCTTGTGTTATTTTAATAAAGACTAGAATGTCATCCTTGGGAAAAAAACCTCTTACTGAAGACAGGAGCCTTCCCTTTGATGTTCATTTTGATAGACTGCACTGTATTAGAAGGGGAAAGAATCTTATTGCAGGGACCCCGGGCAGTTTCACAGGGAAGCTGCCTTGACTTTGAGTCTAAAGGGATGTAGAAACCCATCTTATTTTACAGGCTGGAACTTTGTAGACTTCAGGGCCAGCCTTTTGAGTTCCAGTTCATGTGCTGGAGCTGACAAACGGCTTGACCATATCAAGTGCTTGATGAAAAGAGACCCATGGCTTATTAGGCAGGCTGTCGTGTTTTGCAGTGTCTTAGTACCTAATCAGGGCTTAGGTTCTTGTTTCAGCTTCTCTGTTATGAAATGTCAGCAGGGAGGGAGGTTGTGTAGCTGCTGTGTACCCTGGCCCCAAAGGAACCACCCATCAGCAGGCCAGAAAGCAGCTTTTTCATACCCCTGGTATAACCTATCGCCAGAGAGGAGAAAGTTTTGCTTTCTTTTCCCCCACCTGCTGCCAGTGTGCATCCCTGCATGCTGCTGATTGCAGCCTGAGTGTTCTGGCTGTCACAGACTATAGGAAATGAAGCTGAAAAAAAGAGGAGGGCTTTTTGCAGTTCCTAGCCCAGGATGGTCCAGCTATACCTAAAATCATTCCTGGCATAACCTGTTTAAGGATGAGTAACAAATAGGATTATCTTAACTGAAATGATGCCGTGGGGTCCCTTATGCTCATCATCACATCAGGTCTGTCTTCATCTGTGTTTTAGACATGTTTTGTAATAATCTGATTTAATTTCAATAGCAACATCAACAAAAAGTGACACCAGCACAATTCCTTGTATGGATGGGGTTAGAATGATGCAGTGGTGCCTTTTCCTGGCTGTAATTCCACAAGGGAAGGGGTACAAAAATAAAGGAGGCTATGCAAGTACCACTCTGCTCTGCAGAGTTACGGTGCATCAAACCTGCTACAAAAAAGTGCTACACTATGTTATTCAGGGTTCAGCACAGGGATGCTCAGGTGGTCTGTATCCTCTTCACTGCTGTTTTAAACCCAGGTTTAAATCCCAACATGACTCTGCTTGGTAAAGTTAAGAAACGGTTGGTGCCATGTAAGAATTTACACGGTTAAGTCAGCACAGTTCTGCCGAGAAAAAAAGGGTCTGTGCTGCGTGTGCTCCAGTAGTGGGATAATTTATTCATTGTAGCCCTGAAATAAGTGGATTTAAGCCAGAAGTACCAGTCCTAGGAAGAGGATATGACCTCTGCGTCATTTGCAAGCTGCTTCTTGCTGCTTGTGGGCCCTGTGGGGTAAGACCCTTAGAGAGTGATGTCTTTGGCCAGAGTTGCCTGTTTTTTAGGCAAAGCCTGTCTTTGTGCACAGGGGTAGCCTTGTCTCTGCTGAGGTCACAGGAGTGCAGGGCACTTACTCCAGTGCATGCCAGCAAAGTGGTTTAGGATGAATTGGGGATCTGTGTGCACTCACACAGGCCCCCAAGAGCAAATAATCTGCCAGTGCTGGGGAGAGCAGCAGACATTTGTCATGGCGGGGTCAGCTGAAGTCAGGTCTCCTGCCCGCAAATGCCATGGGAAAGAAAGGGAATTGCACCTGGAAGTTGCAAGGTGTCTGCTGCTGCTGAGTTTTGCCATTTTGGAAAGGCAGGTAGCATTTTCCACTCCCCCAGAGGTAGCCCTGGTAATAAATGTAAATGCCCACCCATGACACATCAACTTTAGGATTTAAATTTGCCCCTGCTTCGTGGCCAAAGCTCCTGCAGATCTGCTGGCACCCCATCTGGCATAGCCAAGGCTCCAGCTGCAGGGGACAACAGCTGCTTTGGGTGCAAGCATTATCCATACGGAAAGAAAACCATGCGCAGTGAAGTCCAGGCTGCCGCATGTCTTGCACGGTCACATCATCAGTGGCTTCGTGGTGCAAAAAAGAAGTCCTCTGGGGTGCTGGTGGTGAAGATTTTCACAGCTCAGCTCCTCTGGTGCGTGACTGGTGGAGAAAGTGACGAGTCCTTCCTCTCCAGAAGGATTGCTCTTTGAGCCCTAAAGGTACTGAGGAAGGGGGGTTGAGGGTGTTGGAGGTGTATAGTGGGTATACAGAGAGGCTTGAAAGTGAAACTGCCATGCGTACACAGTATTTGGGCATTACTGCTGCAGTCTGTTCCTGGTGTACCATACACATGAGTAGCTAACAGTGACAGGCTTCAAATTGTGAAATTGAGCTGAAAAGTGTATATTGTGCTTTAAAAAACCAACCCACCCCTCCTAAACCCTTTTTTACTTCAGTGTCTTTACTGCAAAACGGGGTCTTGTGTTTAAAAGTAGCGACTCCACCCCTCTAATTAATGACCTGGAGCACTTGGTTGGGTACTTCTCAGAGGAGATCTCTGATGCAGGAAGGTGGAGCTCAAGTCTGTGCTTCTACAGCATTCCCCATCCCATTTACTGGAAAGAAAGTACATGGGGAGGGGAGGGATGGGATGATGATGGCCACCATGCTGCAAGCTTTGTATCTTAAAGCCTAGAAAGGGAAGATGATCCTCTGGCAAAACCTGGAGCAAGTTTTGAACACTCTGGGTTCAGTCCTTGGTTCTGACATGGCATGTCTACACAGCTTCTTCAACCACCAGGATCTCCATTTGTGAAACAGGATGATGTATGTTCTTTCTGCCGTGCATTGGTCTGGCATGGGGCACGGTCTGGTGCTCTTCTCCTATCTGTAAGGGCTGAGAGATTTATAAGAGACAGAAGATGGTGACCTTGAGGGTTGGGGTTTTATTTTTCTCACATGGAGCAGGAGTTGCCATCACCTGCTGCCTTCCCTCTGTCAGTTCATCCCAGCGTCAATGTGGTTTTTAATGATAACTTCCCTGTTTCCCTTCAAGTTTCACGATGAAGGAAAATTGCTCATTTTTCCTCCACATGACTAACAGCTCTGAAGTTTCATCGCTTTCACGTCTGGAGGTGGTGGGAGGAGGAAAGCCCTGGGATAAATAACAGGGAGGCGTTTCAGTTCAGTTCCATCTCAGCATGTTTTGTAACTCCCTTGTTCCTGCCACACTCATGTGGAGAAAATCATTAGAGACATTTACTATATGCCAGTGAGGGTTGCACTCATTAAAGAACAACAATACCAGCTCTGGGAGTTCAAAACAAAATGATTTTCTTCCCACAGAGCTGAGCATCATCTTCTACCTTGGCAGCTGTCAGTTGGCCTCTCGTAATGAATCGGAAATAAATAATTTCCTTTTGAATAGGTGATTATATCTGAATTGGTGAATATTCCACTTTTCTTGATACCATCTCAGCTTTTGTTTCATGAAGTCACGAGCGCTTGCAGGAGCCAGGCTTTTGTGGGCACCTTACCATTACTGCTTTGAGTACATGTTTCATATAGCCCCATTGCATTGTGTGTCCTGATACACTGCACTTATTTTGTCCTGATTTAATGATTCTAAGGGAATGGGAATCTCTTGTTTGCCTCCTTGGTCTTTCAGCCATGGGGATGAAACTCTCCTGCATGGCATGAAGGTTTGCTGTCCTGCAGAAACACCTCCTTGTGTGAGCTTGGACGAGCAGGAGTGGCTCCCCTGGGTGTGGATACAGTGAATTAGTGATGTCTCACTTAAAATGCGAGACGCTGTTGAATCAAATGGTGGCCTTCCATGGGCACATCGTGGTAATGAGATGCTTTCTAGTGGGCAGCTCTTAATTTGATGCATACAGAGGGGAGGGAGTATCTGGCAAAGGATTTCGGTAGGGTATGGTCCTGCCTATGCACTGGACTTTCAAAGCAGGTGCTAAGCAACACCTGGGGCAGAGCAAGCGTTTAGCAAGTGCTGAGAATGAGGTTTTAAATGTTTTTTACACTTACAGGATCAGGATACATTACACTGACGCTTACTGTGTCAGCAGAAAGGTATTTACCATAATGGGGTGCAAAGGTGTTCTAGCACACATTTAACTCTTCTAGAACTACATGGTGGTCTTGGCATTTATTGTATAGCTAATTTATATACTTATTTTGTCTGGGATAGTGGTGTTATTTCTTTGCTATCCCCGTCCTGTCTATTTGAACCCCACGCCCTGTCTTGTCTTGTACTAAACCTATGGGACAAGAGTTGTCATAGCTGTGTTTTGCAATCGGTAGGTGCATTGCAGAACAAGGAGCACAGGTCTGTGCTCTTAGAGGCTTTGAGCCCAGGTGAGTTGAGAGCACAGTACCATGTCCAGAGGATCTTCTGCTAGGATCATGATGCTTCTCCATAAATTGCAGCCCTTCTCCTGCATCAGCCTGAAATGCAGTAAGCAGAACACCCTAAGGGAAAAGAGGAGGAATGTGGGAGGAGGTTGGTTGCATTTGTACCAGGGCAATGCCAGTAGCTTCAGCTGATTGCCTGGTTGGGCACTTCCCTGCTCAGGCCCAAGCTCATTCCCATGAATCCTCTGTTCCCTCCCAAGGAATTGTCTAGTCCTGATGGATAGCTATGTTGCAGTGTAAATCTCCTCCACAGTTGGAGCTTGGGCATGCACGTGGGGGACTTCAGCATACCTGCAGGTCCTCAGGAACCTGGAGTGCCACAGCTGGCTTTGTAGCACCGCTACAAGGCATTTCGTGGGTAGGATGAATGAAAGAATGGAAAATATTCAGAAATAAGGCTTTTTTCTTTTTTATGAAGCTTTTTCTTTTAATGGGAGATGACAGGGATGGAACAAAAGCTCTTTTTTTCTGTTTCACTTTGGAAGTTTAATGGTCTCTTTAGAGAGAGAGAGGGCTTTATGGCCAGAAAAAAGAAAAGAGGCATCTGTGAGATGAAGTGAACATGTGGAGGCAGGAGGAGGGGACACATGCATGTTTGTCTCTAATCCCCCTCCTTGCCTGAGGAGTACCCTGCACATTCCAGGGACTGCCCTTGGTGTAGCCCAGAGTCTCCTTGCTGTTTGTCAAGCTGTGGGAGTTGCTGTAGACACATCCTTGTGGCTGTCAAAAGGGCTCTCCTCTCCAAGGAGAAATGTATTTTTTTTTCCCAACCCCTGAGGATCCAGGTGAGAACAGCCATGGCAGCTCAGATCAAAAGTTTTAAAGCCAAGGGTGCTGTGTCTGGTCTTTGGAAAGGAGTCTGAATGCAGGCTGGTGTGCACAGAATGTGACCATGGTGAAGCACCTGAGATGTTTCCACACATAAAGGGGATGGTCTCTGTTTCCAGCTCTTGCAGTAAGGTTAACAGCATGAGATGTGGCTTGATTTTGACTGAGCAGGTGTCTTTGGAGGCAGGTGCTCAGCTCATCCATCAGGTTGGAGATGCCCTCTTTGTGCCAGTGCAGTCAGAGGAAGTGATCGGTTGGGATGTTCACTCAGATGGCTGGTGGTCTGCAGCAGCAAACCATGGAGCAAATGTGTGTGGCCATCAGCAGGACCAGCTAACCTGGCACATGTTTCCCTCCCCACAGATGTGCCGGCGAGTGTACAAAGGAATCCCACTTCAGGTGCGAGGCCAGGTCTGGTCACTTCTGCTGGATGTTGAGAAGATGAAGAAGGAGAATGAAGGAAAATACGAGGTACGGGCTCTTACTGCCAAAAACAATGGGAGCAAGGTGATGGGGAGGCTAGTTTGGTGGGGCTTCACCAGCTAGGGCAAGTGGGACCCATGGTGGATGGAGGCATGTCCATCTCCACTTGCATGGGCAGGAGGGAAATGGGGGTTCCTACAGGGATGGTTTGGGGGGCATGGGGGACACCCAGCCTTTGTACCCTCCTTCACACAGTAGCAGCGTGCTGAGCGATGTACACTGTGTGCTGGTGGTGGGGCCTGATCCATCTGTGACCTCTGAGAAGGAAAGGTTTAAAATTAGTGAGGACTGAAAATGCAAAGGGTATAAACTTTTTAACCATGTGTGTATATTAGTCTGGGGCCTTTTAGCATGTTATTCAGCTGCTTTCCCTAATATGCTGCTTCCATTTATTCTGCTGGTAGTTGTGAGCAAAGATGCTGTCAGTGTTATTACATCCGCCGGGAAGAGGGGAGGGGAAGCTTAGGATAGGTACCACTCATATCACTCCAGGGAGCTTGGGGAACTGTGGAGTAGTCACTAGTACCCTGAAGTAGGTAGGTGCTGGATGGGGGTACCCAAAACCCCTCCATGTGCTTGCAACTTTTGCTCGGGGCATTTTGAAATAGGCAGCAAAGCCAGAAGCCTTAAATCAGCTGACAATGGGGCATCAGTCAAGAAACCCAATTACAGGTAGGGTGAGGGCAGGTCTTGCAAGTTTGGGAGGGGGATTTCTGAGCTCAGGGTCCTGGCTTACAACTTAGATTTGCAGCTGGAAGTTAATTGGCAGTGTTGGAGGAACTTGAAGTGGTTTCTTTTATCTTCCATCTTCAATATTTTTACAACTGTCTTGGAAGTTTCTATTAAAAATCACTCTTAAAATTAAATAGAAATAATTTTTCTATTAAAAATCACTTATTTTCTCTGCAGACAGGATAAAAGCCTGACTTGAATTGCTTCCTACCAGAGCACTGCATGCTGCAGGCTTGGATTCCTTGGTGTAAATGAAGCAATTTCTGTAGTGTGTATTGAACAAGACTTGAGTGATGGGGCTTGCTGTATTTTGTTATTTTGAGGGGGGACCATATCAGTTTCTTTACAGTGCCTTTTTCCATAGGCAGCGTGTGGAACCCCTTGGTCGATAATTAACTTATTTTCCAAACTTGTGTTATCGTTTAGCTTGCATCATGTACCCAAGTGAAGATAGGGCTGTTGTGGAGACAGTTAAATGTCAGAGGCAGGAGGCTCTGCTACTTTCCCACAAGTGTTCCTAAAAATCCCTGCCTGTTAAACAGGATGATGCTGACACTAATTATAGTTAGTCAAGCATAGATGTTAACAGCGAGATGCTACTGGGGTGGAGTCACGTGCAGGGGCTTTGGGAGGGTGCGCTGGGCTTACAGTGATAAGCAGAGATAAGGAAGCTCTCCCAGCATGCAGATTCTTATAGTGCTCCCTCCCTCGAAGCTGTGCAGTGCAGGCAGGGAAGCAATCCAAACAAATGAAAGTCATAAGGAGTTTATCTGTGCTCCAGAGGGGTCTGCGATAAACAGGAGCTTCAGGGCTAATAGGCTTTGCTGGATGCAAACCCCCTACAAGCTCATCTTAATCTATCTCTTCTTTGGTGCCACCTGCCACCAGTAATTATCTGTCCCCTAATTTCCTCCAGAAGAGGCTCAGTGTAGGTCCTGGATGAGGAGGTTTGCTTTCAGGAAGGGACTAAGTGTCAGCTCCAGTTCTGTGTCCTGGAGGGGCTGGTCCCAAGGCCACTCCCTTTCTCCTTGGCTGCGAACCATGGCACAAAAGCCTCACTTTTGCATGCTTCTGGAGGTTTGAGTGTGCCAGCTGGCACGTGCCAGGTGATTCATCTTTTTTTATACCCACTGCTCCCGCTGCAGAGATGTTGTCCCCTGCACTTGGGCTCCCACTTTTCCAGCCACGTGGGATACCTTGCCCCCTGTGACCGTGCTGCCTCTAGGTGCAATTAAAGAGCCAGGTCCAGTTGCTTCCACAGTGCTTTATCTTATCCCAGCTGTCCTCCAAGTCCTCTCCATGCAAGTCTCCAAGTCTTCGTCAAGGCCATGGCAGCTCAGTTGTCCCTGATGCTTCAGGAGCCCAAAGACTACCATGGGACATGCCACACTTGATTTTAATGTGGATGTAATGCTCTGCCTCCCTGGGGTTTTATAGCCACAACTGAGAGAGCTTGAGGATAGCTGAGAAGATGGCAGGAGAAATATGCTGGCCATGGGGCAGAGCAGAGGTATCCTGGCTTTTACCTGCTGCTTTATAAAAGGTCTCTGGGATGGCACCTCCAGCTTCCCAGCCTCTGCTCTGCCACCAGCTTGCAGCACTAATGAGCTCAGCAGAGGATCTGTAGAGTCCCCAGGTTACTTAAGGGAAGAAAGGAGAACAGTCCATCCTGGGCTTCTTGTTTATCATCTGCAGAATGGTAAACAAGCCTTCTAGGTGCATGGAGGTGACAAAGTGCAACCTACCTGCAATTCAGCTATTCAGAATCACTGCTATTCAGGTGCAGTGATTTTAAAAAAGCTCAGAGTAGGTTTTTTTACAGTCTTTGGAAGATTTCTGTGTTGCTTTGGCAGGGAAAACAAGAGGGCCTTTAGCAGGGAAATTTGAACTGAAGTGACCCAGTGCATATGAATAGTCATCTTGTCTCAGGTAGTCTGCCTGCTTTATAGAGGGCAGGGAGCTGTAAGATGCAGAGAGCACAGGATTTACATCAGGGAAGTGATGTTGTTAATCAAATCTTCATTCCATTGTCACTTTTATCCTCCCTTGTCTTGTGCAGCCAGTAATTCACAATAGCCTGTGCACTGTTGCTCATCCATACAGCTGCTTTCAGGGTTGGAGCTAGTATTCCCAAGATGCTGTGACTGCCCCGGGTGTTGACTGTGCTGGATACATCTGGGTACTAATGACCTTTTGATGTTCCCCAGAGGTGATGTGGCCATCCTGGGAGGTCACAGGATTCCAGGAGCAGCCTGGAAGCGCTTTGTGTCAGGCTGACAAGCAAGCATGGCAGCTGCTGGAGGAGATGATTAAGTATCTATGCAGATGTGCTATTTTCTGTCTCCTGTGTGAGCAAGGATGGGTCCTGATCCTGGGCTCAAGGCAATCTGGGCTTGCTTGCTCATCTCTGCTGCCCTTAACCTGACAGTGGATCTCAGGCTGCCAGAAGACAGTCACAAAATGTGTTTTGTTAATGCAACCAGCTTGGAGGGATATTAACCCTGGAGACATATTAAAGGGGGGCATAATCACCAGTGGTATCTGAAGGCTGTGAGATGAGATGCTTGGCTATAGCAAAATGGTCCTTGCCTGCATGCACAGGGCTGAACAGTGGGTTACAAATGGGACTGCAGCAGGATTTGTCCATGGGCCATCTTCAACTTGGGACACTAAGGGTGCAATTGGTTGAGGTGGGCTTAGCTTTGGTTTGAATTTCCTTTTTTTGCAGTGGACTTCAGTCCACTGATGCTGTGATGCTTCTTTAAATGATTAGCCAGCATTGGAGGGAGCATGGGGATTCTTGGCTGTGAGTTTAGCTTCTCTTCTGGACTCTGACTTAAAATTTGCACAACTCCAAGGGAATACCCCAAAACTGCTTTTCTAGGAGAAGCTTGTTAAGCCTAAGATGATTCTTTTCTGCAGGGGAAGTAGCAGTTGGAGAGTACTTCATAGAGTCCATGATAACAGTTTAGATTTTATTATAACTGAGCCTCTGAAAGGTTCAGGGACTTGGTGCATATATCTGTGTTGGTTCCTTAAGGAAGTGTATCATTCCTTAAGCACCAGCAGAGGTCTTAATGCTTTAGGGCAGCCAGACTGGGTACCACAAAGAAATCAAAAGAAATCAGAGCAGAATTTATTGTAAAGATTATTTTAGATTCTGAAAACTTTGCATTGGAAGATGGGTAAAGGCTGGGTTGGCAGCTGGATTGCCACTGTTGTGAGTGTGAGGTTGTCCCCTTCTCTCTGGGCCAGCAGCACAGCTGAGGGGCTGGGGATTCACCTCTGGGCTGCAGATTGTTACTCACTGCAAGGTGGCAGTGTCCCCACGTGGCTCTGTGATAGCTCTGTGCAGCTCACGTACTCCTGCTGTAGGAAGCATGCCTTCTGGCTGTGTGGAGGGACAGAGGTATGGGCTGAGATGGTGCCTGACTCCTTTCTGTCTGCCCCTCTCCCTTCCAGCAAATGAAAGAACAAGCAAAGAGCTTTTCATCGGAAATCAAGCAGATAGATTTGGATGTTAACCGCACCTTCCGAAACCACATCATGTTTCGGGATCGCTATGGAGTGAAGTGAGTACAGGAGGCTTCAGAGCCAGTGGGTATGCATGGGATGAGCTGGATGGGATGGTCAGCAGCCTCCTGGCTTGTGGTGGCCACCAGTACCCTGGCTCAGAGTAGCTCACGGGAGAGCAAAGCCATCTCTGCCTGCTCCACAAACCGTCAGCGCATGGTACAAGCCACAGATGTTGGGATTCTGATTCTGTCTTTGAAGAGGTCCATGCTGGATCATGTTCAACCCCAGTTCTGAGCCAAGCATCAGTCTGTTGTGGTGCCTTGTTCCCCAAGATGCTAGGGTTGCAGTTGTAGAGGGCTTGGTTTGGGATTGCTGGGATGACAGGGTGGGTCCTTCAGGAGCTGGGTGGGATGGGGTGAACATGGCCTCCACAACATATGAGGTTGAAGAGGTTTAACGAAGTGGCTTTGTCACCTGTCTAGGAGGAAAGCCTGCACTCTGTATCTATATGGTAATGATGCCTTCAGCAAGGAGGGAAGGGAGAAAGCAATCTACTAATAAAATGGTGTCAGTGCTTTCCCCCAGGATGTGTAACACTTGATGCTTGGGTGGTTGCAAATCTACTAATATCCCACCACCACTCCAGACCCAAAGATTTGTTTAACACAGTGGTTTAGGTACATGCATGTCACTCCAGGAGACCTGGGATGGAGCAGACTGGCTCAGCCCCACTCCGTGGGGCTGCTGGTGACTCTCACCTGAAAGAGGTGCTGTCCCACGTGCCCATCAAGGTGCTTTCTGGTTCTGTGAGCCCTGCTCCTTGCAAAAGGCATAAGTACCAGCTGGCAGGGTGTTTTCAGAGCTTTTGCTCTCTGCTTATGCATCGGTGTGCAGATAAAGCTGGAAACCTCATACTCAGGTGTTTTAATATCCTTTTTTCTCCCCAGGCAACAGGCACTCTTCCATGTCCTATCAGCATACTCGGTCTATAACACCGTAAGTAGTAAGTTAGTCCAGTTGAAGTGAATAGTGTTGGGCTTTATATATATGTGTATATATAAACATTAAAAAAAGGTTTATATATTTTTTTATATGTGCGTACATGTATATTTATTTGTGTGTATATATTTATGCACCCCCACATTTAGCCAGTGGTAATTCCAATTTTAAGTCCTAATACTGGTTTGTACAGACAGCTGCAAGACTCACAAGCAGCACAAGACTGCATAGTTATTTCATTCTCTTGTTCATTTTGTCATCTGGTAAATGACATCTGGCAGATGCATTTTGGGTGAGTCTCAGCAAAGGGGATTGCCCTTTGGCTTTGCAGCAAGACTAACTTCCTGGCTGAAAGTCCATCAAGTTCTCACTTCTTGACATACACTGAATTTATTACAGCAAACCAGTCATTTTTAGCTGAAGAGCACAGTTAGAATGAGACTAAATTAGCAGCTGAACCTACTGCCTCCATCTCCAGGAAGGAACTCCAGAAGACACAGATGATGCTCAGTGGGGGTAGTTAAGGAAACAAAGATCCCACCTCCCCTCCTACCAGATAAATGCTTACCAGATTTGTTTATTCTTTAATTACTTCAGTGCTCATGTGGCTGAAGGAATCCAAAACAGGATTGAAGCCACGTGCTGTTTGTCATCCCATCCCCTGTTCCTTGAAGTAGCTACAGGCACCTCTTATGTTGAGGCTTCTGTCCCTCACCTTCCAGGCTTGAACAGGGCTGGAGGACAGAGCGGCATGGTGGGGGGCATTGCCTGCTAGAGTTGGTCTGGAGGAGGGGCACAAAAATGGTCAAACGTGCCGGAACACCTCTCCCATGAAGAAAGGCTGAGAGTTGGGGTTGTTCAGCCTTGATAAGAGAAAGCTTTCCAGTGGGAGACTTTATTTTGGCCTTTCATTATAGAAGGGGGTCTTAAAAGAAAGGTGGCCAGGGCCTGTAGTGACAGGACAAGGGGCAACATTTTTAAACCGGAAGATGGTAGGTTTAGATTGAGCATAAAGAAGACTGTTTTTTACAATGAGAGTGGTGAGACAGTGAAAGAGGTTGCTCAGGGAGGCTGTGGCTGCCCCATCCTTGGCAGTGTTCAAGGCCAGGTTGGATGGGGCTTGTAGCAACCTGGTCTAGTGGAAGGTGTCCTTGCCCATGGCAGGGGGTTGGACTAGATGTTCTTCAAAGGTCCCTTCCAACCCAAGCCACTCTATGAAGACATTGATATGGTAGATGCTGCAGGCATACGGGAGCTGTGAATTTGAGCTTGAAGTGAGACAGACCTTGAAAGAGGAGACACAGACAGCCTGACCTGCTTCTGCAGGTTTAGCATCGTGGTGGGGTCTGACAGCATGGCAGCATGTGTGTCCCTCTTGGCTTTTGCAGGAAGTGAGCTACTGCCAAGGGATGAGCCAGATCGCAGCCATTCTGCTGATGTACTTAAACGAAGAGGATGCATTTTGGGCACTGGCACAGCTGCTGACCAATCAGCGTCACGCCATGCATGGTAAGGCTGGGGTGGGATGTGGATGGGGGCTCTTGCAAGTGGGAGGGAAGACTGTTTAGGCTAGTCAGTAGAGCTTCGTTTCTCCTCACATGCTTGTTTAAAATGGGTAAGACTTAATTATGTGCTGATGTAACCCGATAATGGAGCTGAACTTCACTCTTGGAGGCAGACATGTTCATCAGAGAAAAATATCAGCACTGAGCTTTAGTGCTTGGTAATTAATGCTTTCACAGAGGTGCTGTCTTCCCTCCTGAGTGCATTGCCCTTGGCAATCAATTAACTCAAGGTTGCAGGTTTTTAAGAAGTCTCACAGAAGTACGTGTAAGAGCATCATGTAACTCTCCATTTTTAGCATGCCAGACCCACGTACCCTTGTGTTTTTATGAAGATGTGATTCCACCAAATGTACTGAATTATTTTATTTCAAACACATTAAAGACCCTTTTGTCTTACTTGTGGTCAGCAGTAATCTATGCACAGAGGGTTATTTTATCAGCGGAGGGCTAAGCCTTATGGCTTGATAGCTCCAGTCTTAAATGCCTGTCCTACTAGATTACAGAGTGCTGCACAAGCTTGTGTTCAAACAACAGCTTTTTCTCTGAACCTTGGTAAGCATCAAGATGTGTTGAGAGAGGTCTTGACCAAGACAAGTCTCGGGTGGGAAGGGGAGCGGGTTTGCTCTGCAGGGTGAGAAGGACTAGCTGGGGTTGGTGCTGAGAGTGCTGTCACCCATGTGGGATGGGTTGAAGGGTGGGCTCCAGAGGGATGCCAGCAGAGGTAGTTGGGTGCACTGTAGTCCAGGTGACTTCAACAGCCAATGCAGGGGATGAGTTTCTAGAAAATGAGGCTGCCCCCATGACTGCTTCAGAGCTTTTCTGGTTATTTTTTATTTCTCCATCTTTTCTCATTAGGTTTTTTCATTCCTGGATTCCCGAAGCTGCAGAGATTCCAAGCTCACCACGAGCAGATTTTAAGCAAGATGGTTCCCAAACTGAAGAAGCACATGGTATCTTTTTGCTATCGGTCTCCCCATGCTAATAATCATATTTTAATGCTGGAGCAATTAGGGTAATGTTCTGCCAGGGATATGCACAACTGAACGTATTTCTAACCGTGTAGGACTGCTTCAGCTGCAAAGAGGCAAGTGTTTATTAAATGGGATGCCTGAATCTTGATTATCATTTGCTTGCTGGTCATCATTAGTGTAGGAACTGCTAAAATCTAACAGCTTCCTTCAGAAAGTCAGGCAGGAAGGTTCACAGAGCCTGCTGCAAAAGGAGCTGGTTTGTACAGCAGCAAGGCTGGGCTGTGTTCTTACACCAGATGCAAAGCCCAAAAGGTGATGCTGGACTGTCTGGAGTCTTAATTCAATAATTATTAGCCCCAAGTGCTTGCATTTAACAGGTTTGCTGTTATTTAAAGGCAGGAGGGGTGTAAGATCTGCTGTGTGTTTTGTTGCTGGGGCACGTCCAGTTGTTTATCTCTCTGGCAGATGGTAGGAGCCCATTTGGTGTCTGGAGGAGCATCTGCAGGAGACATCAACTGCAGTCTAATGTCTAGGCAACTATTTTGCAACACCTGCTTCCTTTTTTTTTTTTTCCCTTGCCCCCTGCTCTTGCGTTTGCTGTAGACAGTTGGTATTCAGTGGCCAGACTCCTGAAGGTTTCTTATGCTCCCAGGGGGTCTGGAGGTCCAGCTTCAGGGAAAGCTGTTTATATTGCCATCATCTGCAACAGCTCTTGCTTTGTTCTGCAAATGAGCCAGTCCTGGCTATGAAAGTGAAACAGAGTCAGGACAGGTTTTCACCTAATTATAGCCTTGTGGATGGGAGAGACCTGAGCAAAGAGGATGGGAATAACTCTCTGAAAGCTGCTTGTGCCTCCTGGTCCCCAAAGGCTCCCCAGGCTTGCAGGTGCCCAGCACTAGCCAAAGCAAAGACCAGAGCTGGGTGTTAATCCCCTGGGCTTCTTTTTCTTCCCATCCCCACTGCTTTGCTGGCTTTGCAGCAGCAGTCACATCAACTTTATGCACTTGCAGGGCACTGTGCATCCCAGCACCAGCCATGCCATGCCATGAGCTGTGCCAGAAAAAGCAAAGCTGTGTGTGGGTGCTGTGCTGAATCTCAGACAGGGATGGAAAAGTGACAGACCAGGGTGGTGATGGTGAGGTTTTAAAGAGTTTTCCTTAGTCTGTCAAGCTGTCCTGCTCCTGCAGCAGCCATGACATGCAAATGAGGTAGTGCTAGCAAAGCTAGCTTGACAGTGCTGGTCTGGATTTACCTGTGGAATACTTGGGGTTAATCATTTTTGTGGTGCTCAAAGAGGCTCGCATGGGAATTGCTATGGAAACAAAAAAGGAGTGCATGGTTTGGGTTCCTGGAAGTGTTTTGTAGCTCCCCGAAGCAGATATTAGGCCAGAAAAGCTTCTAGGAATCCCTCTCCAAAGCTGTGGCTGAAGTCTGGCCACGTCAAGGATCAGGTTCAATCCAAATCTTGGGCAAACGCCCAGAGCAGGGCTTCAACACTGGTATTTGAAGCAGGGGCTTTGCTGGAAGACAAACTGCAGGCAGATCCTGCACTTAGACCCCAGCTTTAATAAACCAGCCAGCCAGCCGCCCCCAAACCCTATGAGTTGCTTGTACCTCCAGCAGCCAGCCTGGCGAAACGCCTTGTCTCTCTTTGCTGTCTCCTCCTAGGACAAGGAGCAGATGACTACGGGGATTTACACGACCAAGTGGTTCCTGCAGTGTTTCATCGACCGGGTGAGGATTGGTTGCTTTTGGGTTGTTTGCTGCTTTGCTGCTTGCATGCATGGTTAATCTGCCTGTTTTTATAAAAAGGTATCATAATTTGAAGAAAGTGTTAGTATTTTGTAAGGTGGGATATTGTGCACACTCTCATCAGGCAAAAACTTTAATAAGGGAGAAGTTAAAAATAACTGAATGTCACTGATGACAAGCCAGTTCATGCTGCCTCATCACAAGAGGTCACTGGGAGAAGGCTCAGCAGCAGCAGTATAGGCTGCAAACTTGGGAGAGATCTTTCTCTTGCCCACTGGCACTGGTGCAAAGGCAATTAACCTCACTTGGGCTCTGGAAACGACATGGGGAGATGAGCAGCTGGAGGCACAAACCTCAACAAACAGCACTGCAGCAGTTGCACGTAAAGGAGTGGACGGGGCACTGGAGACGCATGTAAGTGTGAGAAAATTGCTCTGATTTGTCCAGAGCTAATTTGCCAGTCCTGAGCCAAGACTACTTTATTTTTAGGGGCACCATTGTGCTTGCACACTTGAAAGCAGTATCCAGACTTGCTAATGTTTATGGTATCTGCATGTCCCCAGGCTCAATTTTCTGCTGCCTCATTTCCTATAAAACAGTGGATGACCTTTTCCCCTTGAGAGGGAACTCACTGATTTGCAGTCTGTCCCTAAATGTTGTACAAAATGCCACGTTCCTTTAACTGCAGTAATGTGGTAAAAGAGCTGTGACGGCCAGTCACGCCAGACTCCAGAGAGTAAGCACAGCATCCTGAATTTGAACTTAAATGTCACAGTGGGACTAGCGTTAATTTCTGTGTTGGTGAGATGCCTTGAATCTTTGTTGGGAGATGATGGGCTGCTCCATCATTATTTCACTCCTGTTTGTAAGATTGGGTCTGGGTGCAAATGAAAGACTCTTGCAGAGGTTTGTCTAGAAGACATACATAAGCCTGCATATAAGGAAGACTACTTCTCTAGGCACCAAAGGAGTGATTTTTTTTTTTTTAATGCTTAGTGAAGCACTGCTGAGCCTTCAGACCTATCCCATAAATACCCCTTAATCTGTCTGGGCAATGTGGATGGATACAGGAGTGCCTTTGTGCACTCACAAGGCTGAGTGGGTAGGCAAACCCATGTGCTATCGTGCCTGTGTAGAAACTTTCTCCTTTTTCTGCATTCGTGGCTGGATTGTAAGTACTTTTCCAGCCTCCCAGTGGTGTTGACTTTAAGGCAAAACCATAGAAAATGAAAGAGGGTTTTGTGTTATAGATAAATCCTGGTCATCCGGTGCCTTGCCTTGCTGTGTGTTTTTGTGCAAGGAGACATAGTGATGCCACCATAATCGTTCAGTCAGTGCTAACAGGCTGTTTTTTTGTTTGTGTGTTTGAAACAGACTCCGTTCACCCTCACCTTGCGGCTGTGGGATATCTACATCCTGGAAGGAGAGCGGGTGCTGACGGCCATGGCTTACACCATACTCAAACTGCACAAAAGTAAGGTCCTAGCAGAGTGCGTCTTGTATGGCAGAAGTGGCACCCTTCTGTGCTGCTCCCCTGCTGCTGACCCAGGAAGCCTTGCTGGCCACTACGAGCCTGCTTGGTGCCCTGTGCTGGGCACAAAAAGGAACAGTCCCCACCTCCAGGGAGGAAGTGAGATGCCACAAGGGTTGAAACACTGTGCTTGGTGCACAGCAAACCCCACCTGAAACACTCCCAGCTGCCTCTTAGAAAGATGCTGCATCCCACATCTTTTATCAGCATGCTTTTAGGGGCAATACAGACAGCAACCCATCTGTCTGCACAGCTCTGTGGCAGTTCAGCTGAAAAAGCTGTAGAGGGAGAAATAAATCCATTAATATACTTCTAAAATGACCAAAACCCGGTTTTTTTTTTTACATAACATTAAGACAGTGATGTTTCTACATCGAGATCATTGTGACTTTGAACCCCACTGCTCCCACAGGCTAGCAGTCTTACTTTTTAACCCTGTTAGATCTTTAATCTGGGACAGGAACCTTTGGGCCGGTGGGATTTATGGGACTGCAAACAGCCATCCTGCTCTTCCTTCAGTTGAGAGAAGAACAGGCTATCCAGAAATAATACAGCTTCAAGTATCCCATTTGTTTGCAAAGACTGGTAAACTGGCAGGCAGGAGGAGAGAAATAATTTCTCCTCCCTAAGGAAGGTGTGATGTGGATTGGCATCCCTGCCAACATCCTATCCCTTGCTGCATCCCTGAGGTGGGTCCGTATGTCTGCCTGCTTCCCTGCCTGGTGGCTGTTCAGTCTTGACACTCTGGGTCTATCTCATGGAGCTTTTCCTCCTCCTAGAGGTATTGCTGAGAACTTCCAGAAATGGCCTAAAATGTGCATCCTGGTCAGCATAGGTCCCAGCTACTGCTGAGCTACTGCCCAGAGGTGGCACGGGTGTGTAAATGTATCGACAATCCTGAGCAACAGCAGGAAGGTGGGAGAGAGGCAGAAATGTTCAGGCTGTCCCACGTCGCAGTGGGAACAGCAGCAGAATCCCAGATAAAACCAAAGCACTGCAACCCACGCTTTGGCCATGCCAGAGCCATTCCTCCTTTCTGCTGCCCCCAGAACGCTTGCTGAAGATGACGCTGGAAGATTTACGGGAGTTTCTGCAGGAGAAAATCGCCGCTTCCCTGCAGTACGAGGACGATGCCGTCATCGAGCAACTGCAGGTGTCGATGACTGAACTGCGCAAGATGAAGTGTGACCTCCCCCCGCCAGGTGGGTAGCAGGGAAAGGCAGGCAGCCCAGCGGCAATGATTGGTGGTACCTGTGTCCCCTGAGGGCCAGAGCATCCCTCTGGTGTAGCTGGGAGCCGGGGCAGCCTGAAGGGCTGGTGTCCGCTGTGTGCAGCATCTGCCTTCCCCGCAGTCAGAGCACGACGGGTGCAAAAATGAACTGATGCATCATTTGGGTTTTATTTTATTTTCTCTTGCTTCCAATGCAGCAAAGCCTGAGGAGTTCCCACGGAAACCCCTGGGCCTAGAGCTCTCCCTCAACCCAGTACCCATGAAGGGCAACGTGGCAGCCAATGGCCAGAATGGCCGGATGGGTGAGCACCCCCCGGACAGGGAACCCCATCCCAACAGAAGTCCCGAGGCTCCAGGAGAGATGGTGGCAGAGGCGAGGACTGCCACCCTCCAAGGCAGTGAAGCAGCTGAAGTGACAGACGTCCACTTGCATCCTTCTGGAGGGGGGTCACTGGGAGAGGAGGGTCAGGTGGAGCCCACCGGGGACAGACAGCCACCATGTCTTTTGAAGGCAAGTGAGATGCAGGCTCATCACCTCTTGCCCACAGCCCTGCCGCTGGAGCAGGCTCCTCTCACTCCTGTCTGTGCCATGGCGGACCACGAGTCTGTCCCCCTCCCCACCCCTGCTGAGCTCGGCTCCTCAGACTCCTCTCTCCAAAACACATCGAGTCCTCCTGACTCAAGCACGACTGAGTTTTCTGCTACGGACCATGCTGTGTGGCAGCCAAATCCTGTTGCCCTGCCGGTGAGAGAACAAGCATCTTCCTTCTGCGAAGAGAAAGTGCTTGAGGCACCCCCTCATCCTCCTCTGGATGGTTTGCAGCATCTCTCCAGTGAGTCTCAGTGTGACAGCTCCCCTGAGAGCAAGCGCCGGGAGGAGACAGCTGAGAAGCGCTGCAGAGCAGCACCACCAGACAAAACGGACTTGAAGCACTTGGCATCCAAAGCTGCATCCATGGGGGAGCTCGCCAGCCTGCAGCAGAACGGGCCAGGGAGCACCAGCATGCAGTGGCCGCAGGGGCTGGCAGGGGGCCGTGTGCCCATCCTATCCAGCATCAAGGTGGAGGCAGTGGGGCTGGGTGAGGGCTACCCCTTGCAGCAGGCACCGTCCCCCGTGGTGGAGGGGAACAGTCCCTATACTGTTATCAAAACCACCACTCCCCTCCACCTGGCCCATGCAACAGAGCAGGATGTAGCGAACAGGAAGCAGGTGGCATTGCCACTGCCCGAGACTGGATGTCCCCTGTCTGCCACCTTTATGCCACCATCTCTTGTGCTGGACCCGGAGAAGGCAGATGCCCAAAAAAGCTTCGAGAAACCATTAAACGCGCTCAAAGCCCCACGACCCCCTCTAAGCCCCAAACCAAAATCACTGCCACGGGTTGCCAAATCGCACTCGGAGAACAATTTCCTTTCAGGCTCTCCTTCCCTGGCGAAGCTGCCCAAATCAGTGACATTTTAGTGGCAATGGGGGGAGGCAAGGGAGAGAAAGCAGGTGCTGGAGTAGCACCCTCATCCCATTTTCAGAACCCCCCTTCAGCAGGGCTGTGTCAGGGAGACAGCACAGCAGCCAACGCCTGTTGAGCTGTGCTTTGGTACGGGCGCCTGGTGAGACAGTGGAGCAGTGGCCGCCAGTGCCAGGAGGCACCAGCAAACTGGGTTTGTGTCTTTCCTATGGACAAATTAGCGCTTTCATCTTGTGTTTCTTGAAGCTCCTCAAGCCTCATTGTGTGTGTGGGAGAGAGACAGGGCTGGTGAATGTGTTCTGTGTTCCCTTCTGCTCCTGCCTGCCACAGGTACCCATGGGCATGGAAGCAGATACAAGGCATAGGGATCCAGAATGCTTTCTTTAAAAAGCCCCATCAGTGCAGCCAAGAGCGTTGCTTTCAGAGGCCTTTATAGCAATAGATCTTTGCTTCTTTCCCCAGACCTGCAGTTGTAGACAGCAGCATTTTTAGGCAGGGCTGTGGCGTCCTGGCAGGACACAGGCACCCCTCTGCCTACTCTATGCAATTCCACAGCCCAGCTGTAACTGGCTCCTGCTGCAGTGGTGGATGGTGTCCTGGAGGGGAGGTTTAACAGCAGGTAAGTCCCTGGGCGGTCTCTCTTGGTGTGACCCCGGTGGAGGACTGCCAGCAGGATGATTCTTTCCTAATTTCTCAAGGTGACAAGGACAGTGAAGGTTGAGCCTGGTCTCTTGAGCTGAATGGCCTTTCTGCTGGCTTTTCCTGCTCAGGTCTAGAGGTGGGGAGCAGGCTTCAGGAAAAGGGGCTACTGCTTCAGGAAACCTACTGCCTTCATTAGCAAGCTGCTGGAGGTGTGGTGGTGTCTAACTGTCACAGTGCTCAAACTGAAGTCTGCTTTTACTTTAGAGCAAGTTAAGAGTCAGGGTGGAAACGGAATAGGCACTGGGGAGGGGGAGCACATTGCCCACAACCTGATCTCAGCATTTATGGTTTAGCCCACCTGGAAATTAACTACCAAGGAAGGAAACCTGGGCACAGAGGTTTGGAAGATGATGCTGTAGAGCATCAACATCTCCACAGCCTACTGCTGAGGAGATAATGGGATGGGTGCCACCCATGACCACTTGCCCTTCATGTACCTAGTGGTCTGTCCATCTCCTCCCCTTCCCAGGGTGTTGCTGCTGCACAGCCCAAACTATTGGCTGGAGGTGTGTAGGAAGCCGAGGAAAGCTCACCCCACTGAAAGAGCGGCTCCAAGTTCCTGTTCCCAGTATGTACTTAAGGAAGGAAGGTAAATGGAAGCAGCAGGAAATAAATTAGTCCAGGTATGCAGTATTTGACTCTGCTGTCCAGAAGGGGTGGCTGTAGATGTCTCCTTAGGTGGGACTGCAGGTGTGATTCCTATCCATATAATGGAGACCCTGGGCTCCTCTAAGTTCTGAGGAGACTTTGAAAACTCTTTTTTATCTCACAGGCTGCTTCAGTAACATAACCTGACCTGCAGCCTACCTGGAAGCCCAGCAGAAAACTTCCACTAAGTTACTTTGTGGAGTTTATCAGTTTAGGGGTCTTTTCTTGTTAGCAGCAGGGTGAGCATTGAAAGGAGCACCCTACGTTTGGCTGTAGCCAGACAGACAGAGCACCCTCACCTCCTGTTGTAACCCCTGCTCTGTCAGAGAGCCCATCATCTTGTCCTCTTCAAAGCAGGGATAACCCTATCAGCTACCTCGCAGGAGAGTTGTGAGGAGTCGGGAGTTGCTCTTTGAGGAGAAGTGTTTACGAAGAACTGTTCAACATTTGTGTTTCGAGATGCCATGGGTCCTTTCTAGGGCAATGGTGCTTGAACTGCTGGTTTTAATTTAGAGTACGTTCTTCAGTAACCGCACAGTAGTTAAACCCATTTGTGTGTTAAAATACCTGGGCAGTATTTCAAGACAGGTACCAGTTGCCCTTTGCTAGCAAAGGCTGTTGGAGCTTGTTGGGAAGCAACAAGAAGCGTCTGAGGGTGGGTGGTCAGCTCTTGGCTTGGTTTCTGTAGCTTCTGGGTGGGGGTTTCTGGCCTCTCCCTGATGCACATATAGGACTCTTGCTAAGATGTCTGAGCATTTGGCTCCTGTAAGAGCCGAGACCTCTTCTTCCCCTCATTTTGACTTATTCCCCCTCATTTTGGGCGCACAGCCTTTGCACATAGTGTTGCATGTGCACCTGGGCTCTTATACCCAGTGCATGTCTGGGATGTTTTGCAGTATTCACATTTAAAAAGGTGGTTTGTTCTAGTTTTGGAAAGCTGTCAAATGCACAGTACCCATAGCATGGTGTTTAACAAGAGTTTGAGAGGGTTCCTCCCCTCCAAACCCTAATGGGAATGAGCAGCAAGGTCCTTGCTCACCTCCAGGCCTGAGGGAAGGCACCAGTTGGTTGCAATGACTTCTGGACCAGGCAGCTACAGGCTCCTCCTTCCCACTATAGTGCGCTTCTTGCTGGGAAGGTCTCTCAGCTCTTCACTGTGCCACATAAGAAGCTCTTCTCCAGCCTGCAGCCCCTGAAAGGGGCTTCCTGCCAGGTTTGGCAAGAGTTCCTGGGAGCCAGCAACGTGCATTAGCTTCCTTGGAGTGATGCTCTCGCTTCAGCACATCAGAGCATAATTGACAGGAGATCCTGGCTCCTCTACCTTTTGCTGCAGATGAAGGTACAGCCATGGCACATCTGTGGCAGCAGTGGTGGGCAGGACATGGTCCAGCCTCAGCACTTTCACTGGGGATAGGAAGGGAAGAAGGGCAAAGATGGCAGCTCAGCAGGACAAAGAAGTGGCCCAGGCTACTTGCACCCCTGCCCCAGTCTCCTACAGCCTCAGCCCCTTAGCAAAAGCCTCTCCTACCGTGAGCAAACTCAGGAAAGCAGCTCCCCTGCTCTCCCCATCCTTGCCCCCCAGCCCTGGGATGACTCTCACCTCGCTGCCCTCCATGTAGTTCTAAAGACCAATGTTGTGGGTTTGGGGGGTTGTTCTTTTCTGTTTTGGGATTTTTTTGTAACTGAGCACTTTGAGTGGCTGCGGCACCGGAGGGCAGCAGGAGCCACAGGGACTCGCGCTGGGGAGCCGCGGGAGGTCGGCAGGAGCCACAGGGACTGGTGCTGGGGACCAGCTCCAGCACGGGATGGTGGTTGAGGTCAGGTCTCTTGGCCATGGACTTGAAGACCCTGACTACCATTTGCTTTTCTTTTTAATTGCTATTTTTGTTTACAGCGTGGAACGCTTCCTCCATGACTCTTTCTAATGTATTATAATTATTACTTAAAAGAAAACCAAAACAACATTTTTTCTTTTGTTATTTTTTTGGCGGGTTTCTTTTGTAAGGAAGTTTTTTTTTGGGGGGTGGGGGGAAAGCCAATCATTCCTTTTTACACCGATCCACACAGACTGTCCGGAGTATTTGATGCTGTGTTTTACATGGTTGTAATTATAACAGTTAAAGAAGTTTAGCATAAAATCAGACTGCATGAGGTTTCTTGCGATGACAGATGCTACAGAAGACCGGTTGCCTTCTCCTGCTGGCTTTTGGCTTGGTTCACCAGGCGTGCTTCTGCTGTGGTGGGTCCAACCCACTCCATCCCTGCCTTCCAGCCTGGCTTTTTTATCGAGGTTCAATCCAGGCATCCCCAGCAGCAGTGGAAAGAAAACTGCTCCTTCCTACACCCTGCTGTCCCCTCCCGGCTCACTGAGCCAAGAGCAGCATCCTGCCTCTACCCTCTGCACATCTCTCCCAGCACAAGGCCGGTGGCCAGCAGCCCCACTGCAGCTCTCATTTGGATGAGATTGTGAGTTTGGATTTTGTTTTCCTGCCTGCAGGCAGCGCTGGAGGGTGGGATGGGACAGGGAGCCGATGGCCACAGCTCCTGCAAGGCAGGTGGGTGCAACTCCAGCGGCACAATGTGAGTCAGGACTGAGTCATGCTTCCACCAGTTACTGGGACCATAAGGTGGTGCTGCTCACAGCTGAAAATGGATTTTAACAAGCTGTGTGAGCAGTACCTCTGACACACCCCAAGTTTCAGGGCCAGTGCTTCCTGTGCTTGGAAAACCATGGTACTATTGTCTTTGGGGTGTTAAATTTGGGCAGTATTCCGGTTTCCTCTAAGAGAAGGGTGCCATTTGGTACTTAAACAACATGGTTACCATGAACACAGGGTCATTTGTCTCTACCAGGGGGCAGAATGACTGACAGCAAAATGGATGGGGCCACAATTAGCTAAATACTACCCTAGGATCGAAGGGCAGTCAGGAAATGTGGCATCCCTATGCATCGCCCCATCAAGACCATCAAATAATAATTTACTGCTTCTAGGGGACCAAGAGCAGGACAGCTGTGTAGTTCCAAGCCCAAGCTTACCAATATGCACTTGCTGTACAGCACTGGGACTGGTGGTAAATGAACTCTGGAGAAGCTGCTTAAATCTAAATGGCCTTTTCAGCAGGGTCATCCTGCTACTTCTCGGTCTGTGCTTAGCATTTACCAGTATTCTCATTATACCCTCCCTTTACCTGTTGGAGCCATTGCTCATCATGGCTTTCTGCCACCTCCTAACACCAGCTCTGTTCCCTTTGTTCTCACCCGGGGCTGGTCCCGGCACAGAAACTACTCCAACACAGACCCGCAAGCTGCGCTCACTTCTGGTGTCCTGGCAGCCTGCTATGGCTCCTGTCCTTCCTGGCTCCTGAACAGCCAAACCAGCAGTGCCAGCAGCTGGGGCAGGCAGGCCACGTCTCATCCTGTCGCTCACTGGCTCTCTTCCGAGCCACGGCTGCACTCCTCATCCTCCTCCCTGCCCGCCACCCACAACAGCTAAGAGCTCAGCAACCCTGCTGCATGCCCCCGCAATACATCAGCAAGTCAGCACTGAATAATTGATGCTAAGTGAAGCCTGGAGCAAAGCCAAGCCAAGAGAGGGAGCGAGGCTTTGGGCTGGTTCTGGGATGCAGCAGGGGAGAGAGATGGGTGAGCTGTGTCTGGCAGCCTTGCACCCCGGCCTGTTTGGCAGAGGCAGTACTGGAGAGTTTGGCTGGGCATGGGAGTCTTGCCCCTCTTTGGCTTGCTGTGCTGCTGTGGTAGTTGAATGATGCTCATGTGCTGCTGTGCTCACATGTTCCTGTGTTGCTGGAGTGCTGCACAGGGGCTGTGGCATGGTGGCTGGGAGTTGGGAAGCAGAGCGAGGGCACGCACAGTGCAGGGCGTGTAGCCCAAGCCCCAGCAGCCTTGGCTGGGGCTGGAACCTTGGCTCTTTTAAATCACAGACCCTGCACTCAACCCACAAGGGCTCATCTGCTCTAAAGGGAACAAAGCTGCACATGAGCCAGCCCCATCTGCATGACCCAGCTCCCACCAGTTGCTGGTAGCCAGGATGTCTGGTGTCACACCATCCTCTGAGAAATGCCACCCCTTTCCCATAGCACATCATTGGTTATAAACCAGAACATGGAGAAAATAGCCTAGCAGCTGATAAAGGCAGGTCTGACCCCAAACCATCTCCCAAATCCTACAAACAGCAGCTGAGGGAGCCCACAAGGCACACACCAGCATCCTCCTGGTAGCGAGGCAATCATGCTCACCTGACAGGACACAGGCACCATGACAGCACAGGAGATAAGCAAACCAGAGCTGTAACAACTCAGCCATCATCTCAGTGGGAGACACAGCAGCTGGTCCCACCCCATGAGCATCCCTGCTCACTGGCAGCAGTTACAAAAGAGCCCAAGATGAGGATGGAGATAGTTTGGAAGGCACACACAAAGAAATGAGTCCGAGGGAGTGGAGTCACCCTATTCTTTCACACAGTAAAACAGGTTCTTCCTAAGACACACAGAAAGGTGAACTGTAGGAAACTTCCATCCTTGCTCCAAAACTGGTATGAGGTCCCTAACGGTACCTGCAGATAGATGGGGTGCAAATCCTCAACTGCCCTGTGCACGGTTGGCTTTGTTGGAGACAAGGAGAAATGATACAGAAGAACCACTCGGGCTGGCAAGGTCGGCAGTAATAGACTGTAGTGCAGAAGGGAAACCTGGTCTGCTCCTCCTCACCCAACCACGCTGCAAGTGAGGAGGATGAGGCCAGCATTTAGTCAGGGCTGCTCCATAAAACTGAAGACATTCATTCAGCTACCCCCTCCTTGCCTGTCAGGTCTCTCTCCAGCAATGAGTCATGCTGCCAGCTCCTGCAAACACAACCCAGATGCTTGCCAAAGCCTTCCGCAAGCACCATGCACTCGTGTTTTGGAGTCACCATCTCTGCTGGCTTAGGAATAGGCTTCTGCGGAAGCCCTCGCAGACCAAAAGGCAAAAGATCTGTTCCAGCACTTAATCAGCATCTTTAAGGACTTGTAAGCAATCTTGTCAGTTGACTTGGCGGTCTCTGGAGCCCCGACACTTCTGTAATAGGGTGTGGGGCACTTGAATTATGTGGGAAAGGAAAGCTTATACATCAGTCCTGAGACATCTGGACCAAACCAGACCAGGCCTCCTCAGCTATTCCGTCATTTAAGTACAGGTTCAAAGGTGGCACTCCTCCATCACGGGAGATGCAGCCTCAACTGATAATCACTACAATGCTGCCTGAAGCCTTCTCAGAGATGGTGTTCACACTTGCCCGAGATCCACGGCACAGCACCAAGTTTAGGCCAGCCTTGCCATGAGCAGCTGAAGAGATCACAGCAGCCAAACATGACCTGATGTGCCCACATAGAGCAAAAAGCTTACCTCTGTGGACTTCTGCAGCTTCCAGCTACGCAACTGGAATGGCTCTTCACAGAATAACTGCACATTCTGCCTACTTCAGCTTATGTAACAGCAGCAGAACCGAGATGGGCAACCAACTCCTTGTCATAAGGGAAACAACTGCAGGAAACAACGGCAGTATCTGAAAACCACATCTTCCAGTCCAGCTACTTCTAGAACAAATGCACCTTAAGTAACTATGGGGACAATAACTAAATTGACTCCAAACCCAGCAATTCCTTCTCCAGACCTACATTCACTCTTATGAAAATGTAACCCTTATACTGCTTTCAGACTCAAGTTCAAATAGCAAGTAGAGAACACATTATGAACTCATGTACTGACCTCCTGCCTGTCATGACCAGCAAGCTGCTAACCTGTACCCACACTACCAGCATGAAGTCAGCAAGTGAAACACCAAGTCCAAAGTAACAGCTCCACCTAAATGAAGTGATACGATCTGTTTTTTGTCTACCCCAAAGATCAGATGAGAGCTGACACATTGAAGATCTGTCATGATTCTCCTGAAGCCAACCTCCTGGAACAAAGATGCAGTACTATATTAATACATGATTAATACATAATTTCAGGGGAAGAGGTGGGGTGTCAAGCTTTTAGCAACTCCGTTTGCTCCCAGCCTACCTCCAACTTTCAGCATGGACTTGAACACTGACCTGAGAGTCTGGGTTTCTTGCGATCTTTTAATTACAGCAAAAAGCTGTAATTAAAAGCACCAATGGTGCTTCCAGCTCCTGCAACGGCCATGTTACTGACCAGCACTGTTTGGCAAAGAGTGTTGGCTGCTTTGCTTCTGCTGGGTGCAATCCACAACATGAATGAGATTGGTTTGCAACCTGCTAGGATCAGACTACCACCCATCAGTCAGGTCCTCCTAAGATGCTTGCAGTCTGCAGTCCCAGCTCCTACCTGCCTAATGGAATTCTGAAGTGCTGTCCTGTTGTAGCACTGTCCTACCACCTGCACTGAGATGAAGGTTCTGGCTGCTGAAGAACTTTTAGGTCCACTTGCACAACCCTAGTGACTCCTAGCACATTGCTTTAGCCATACAGAAAATAGGACTATAACCCAGCCCCTAGAAAAGAGACTGTCAATATCTGGAACCACTTTAAGTATACAGCCATGAGGAGTGGCCCAAGGGAACAACAGTATTTTGCAACTAGAAGACACTCAAACAGCTAAGATAACGTGTGGCTTGACCAGACCCAGAGCTTTCCTGAGCAAGCTGGAAAACCTCACCCTGAGGGGTGCAGAGAACTCTCTGAAAGGGCTCTTGTGACTGCAGATGGTGCTTGCTCTCTGAAGACATCTCACACCTGGTGCTCCCCAGAGCTCCTTCGCTCGCTTGACTGTGGCTCCTAAGTCCTTGACTTTGGCCTCTGGCTCCCAACCAGAAAGAAGATACTTTCAGTGGTTAGAGCTATCCAGAGTCCAGCCCTCAGCAGAGCTCGAAACACAGCGTTACTTCTCATCTGAAGGCCTCCAGATTCACCAAGGGCCTGGTGAAAGAGATAAGCTCTACTGCAGAAAATGAGCAGCAAGTTCCTAGTGCAGTAACACCACCAAGCAAGGGCCCCCACGTCACCCCAGCCACTAACGGTTAAGGTGAAGTAGCCCTGCCCGGTGCCCTGCCTGCAGCTACACACAAGCTGCTGACTTGGGAACAAACCCCATACTTGCAGAATTCCACTTGGAACAATCGAGGCTGGAAGGTTTTCTGGTCCAGCCCCACCATGTAATACCAGACTCAGCATCGCGGCACTCCTCCATCACGGGGACAGGCGCTGCTGTAAACTGCGCTCCCAGCTAGAGGCAGGGAAGCTGGTCCTTTGGGTAACTAGTTGGGATCAGCCCTTCTCCTGCAGGAACTGGGTGCCAGGCAGCTGCATCCAGGGTGGGGTTGCTCCCCACAGCAGTTTGGAGCACAGGTACAAAAAGCAAACCATTAGCACAAGTCCTCTCTTGCCCAGCCAAAAGCAAAGTAGCAACTCTTAAGTAGCACTGGAGTTCAATTCTGCTGCTGCCTGGCATGACAGAGGATGAGTGGGATGGGAGCTGCGTGCACGGATGCTGGGAGCCCCTGGTGGGCTTTGTGCTGAGGATGACCAGGGTTTCTGTATTGGTTTTGCTCTGAGATGTGACTCACTCACTGCCCTTCCCGCTCCCAACCCCTGCCAGCCCTGGCTCCTGAACCCAGCACCTCTTCAGGCCTGGGCTAGCCCGTGCAGAGCAGCTCCCTGCCGCACTTGGCTGGATCACCTTCCCCTTTGATGCTCTCAGTTTGGGATGGCAGCTAAGTTAGTCTGTGCAATACTTTGGGAGGGGGAAAGGCAGGGAGTACCAAGCTGCCTGCTGCACTGAGTGCAATGCCTCATCTTGGCTCTGCAAGTGAAAGGCACGTGGGAGAAGCCAGTCAGACCCCAGGCAAAAATCCCAAAGGAGCAGGGCTGAGTGAAGACGGGCTTCTCAAGAGATTAGCCCTTATCCAAAACACTCTTACCCACCCTAAACCCAATGACTGGAAGTCTGAATCCTTTAGTCCTGGTTGTTGAGCAGGCAGACAGCCGTCTGCAGTGCAGGAGAGCCCTTCTGCTACGTGCTCAGCAGTAATTAACCGTGCACAGGGCATGTGATGGATTTGCATACCATATACACTGCTGACAGAGTGGAGCAGCCCCAGGTGTATGTGCTCTGCAGCATTAGCAGAGGCACTGGCAAGGAGCAGAAAGGCCTAATTCTACCTCTGGAGCACAAACACTTGGGAGGTGCTGTGCAAAGAGCTGCCTGGAAAAAAATAATAAATCAAGGAAGCAACAAACTGGCATCAGCTGAAGTGAACCCAGCTCTCAGATCTCCCCAACACATCTTCCCTTCCAGGCATCACATCTGAGGCCATAAAAAATCCCACAAGGACTAGGTTGAATGCAAAGCACCAGGGGAGTGCCGAGGATGGTCCTACCAAAACTTAGGACAGGCAAAGGCTTTCAGGTGGGACAGGGACATGACGACAACTTGCTGGAGACAAACCAGCTCTGTCCCTGAAGGACACCCCATCCTGCTCACCTTCACAGTCTGCAGCATGACCTCAGTCTCCGGAGAGCAAACCTCCCCACCCTTCCCTCCCTGCTGTGCCACCAGCAATCCTCCCAGAGCACCAGCAGCAGCACCCTCTGGAAGGAGGACAGAGCCATCAAGGTTTGTCGAGACCATCAAATAATAATTTACTGTGATTCGATCTGTGGCTTTGTACAGTTGCCGGGGTGGGAGGAGGCCAAAGGAGGAGGGGATGAGGAAAGAAAAACAACAGAAAAAAAGTCGCTTGCCGCAGGCTTGGGTGAAGTGCGAGATAGTCCTTGGAGGGGCTCATGCTCCCTCTGTCCTCTTCCTCCTCCTCTTCCTCACCCCCTATACTCCTCCTCTGAATCCGTATGCTTCTTCCTTCGCTTCACCTCTTTCCTTGCGCACTGCACAGTGGGAACCTCTCCAAGACACGGTCCAGTCAGCTGAAACCAGAAAAGGATGCTCATTAGCACCCATTCGCCATCAGAACCAGCAGGGGCTGTTTCCATTACCCACCCCTCAGCACTCTGGGATGACCCTGCTAATGCCCACAGAGGGAAAGCAAAGGGCTATGCAGGTCTTGGTGGTCTGGACCTTGCTCAGCAAAGCATCTGCACATGCACTGAAGGGAACAAGCAAATAGTCTGTGGAGTGATGTCTGAGCCTCAGGCATCTCACCAGACCTTCTGCCTCTGTCCAAACCCCACTGTGGGAAGGGGCACTGTTTGGTGAGATCTTTCTCCTGCCTCCAAGGATAATGAGAACCACAAAGCGAGGCCAGGGCAAATGCAGCTAAATTTCCCTGACTCCCTGGTCACACACACAGCCTTCTCTTCCCCAAAACACAGCCTGGCTTCTCCTTTTGTGCCCTATGTTCCTCCCTGTCTGCTCTTGGCCACTGCAGCTAGAATAAGCTGGGACATCTGGTTTCCAGTTTCTGCCTAAGCAGAAAATGATGTAGGCAACTTGCGGGGCACGCTCTCTTAACAGAGGGGAGCATTCCCAAGAGATTCCTTCCCACCCCTTATTCCCCTCTTTTTGAAGGAAAGGCCTATGCCAGTGCTGGCCACCATGCTCTGATGGGGAACAGGCTCCTGACAGTCAGTGTGGGGGAGCAGCAGGAGCAGCAGCGCCGAGCCCATGCCATCAGCTGTGAGCCAGAGCAGGAAATGAATCCTGACCTCACATCCCCATCCGCAGGAAACGCTCCTGAACATCTGGAGAACCCAAACATCTGGAAACCCTCCCTTAGCAGTGATAAGTGTGCTGGGCACAGCACTCGGCTTGGCCCCCGGGAGGCCTCACACGCACCTCGGCTGGGAGCAGAGGGGTGTGGTGCTCGGGTCAGTTTTTGCTCATAGGAAGCAAACGCTGCCAAGCGTTTCTTTCCTTATTTTGGGGGGAAGAGCTCTGTGTGCTCACGGCTTTTGACTCCAACAGCAGAGGAAAACCAGCTGCCCACTTCCACACACAGCAAGTCCGTCTTAGCACCACTTCTGGACACTATGTTCTGGACACTCTTTAGGACTCCAGCAGTTGTGCAATGGGGTGAAGGGCCAGTCCCAGTGCGTGGGAGACCCCCAAAAGACATTAAGTGCAACATTCATGCAGGCTTTTCTCCCACACCCCAGTCCTAGACAAATCCTTAGATGTGCATCTCCCTGGTGTACTCCTCCCCAGTTGCCTCTCTCTCCATTTCTGCCATGGGAGGAACTGGTTACACAGCCAGATGTTCCCAGGCGTTTGGCTTAAGGCCACCCAGCTCATGCAGGGACACCGACAGGAGCTCTCCCTCACTGCTATCCAGCAGGATTGCAATGATTTAAATAAACTCATCATTAAAAAAGAAAAGGAAGAAAAAGAAGAAAAACAGGCAAGTGAACACATGAACACAGACAATCTGAAAAACACTGTTTCTGGCTCCAGCACACCCTATTTATAAAAGCAAAACAGCCCCCTTATGGCTAATTCTCAACATTGCATCAATTCCAAATATCCCAGGGGATATCTCTAATGGGGAGAACTCTTCCCAGGAACACAGGACTTTCACAATGAGACAGGTCTGCTCTGAAGCTTTAGGACAAAGCAATTTACATGAGTGCATCAGGAGGCAATGAGCTCACTCAGCTCTTCATCTCAACCCTTCTACGGCCAGTCTAGTGAACATGCAGTGAGCCGTGCACCTTCACACCTCCAACACCAGCTTAACTCCCCTCTCAGAGGGGCAGCTTGGGAAGAAGCTTTCCCAGGGGAAGCACAACAAAAACTGGTTTTTTTTTTTCTTCATTCAATTCTGTATAATTTTGCTCCACAAAATAAGGGGGAAAAATACAACACCCCTTTCCTCCTACACTCTTCCTCAGGAAAGTGGGAATTTTAACTTAACTATATCTTGACAGAAAAATGCTATTTCAGTCAAAAAGGCATTTCATTACAAAAATACCCATTGCTGGAATTATTTCTGCTTAATCTGTTTGCAGACGAGTGCATCTGCAGTCACCTCCTGCCCTGCTTCAGCTGTTAAGCCCCATCTCCTGCTTCCAAAACTCACCGTAGTCACGATATCACACATTTACAGTTCATGCAGCCAGGGCCGCTCTCATCTGGGGGATTCAGCTTGCGCAGCTTGTGCTGACGGATCTCCCGCACCAAGGTGTAGAAGGCATCTTCAACGCCCTGGAAGAAAAGCATCACTTGAAGCCCTTGAGATTCAGGCTTTCAGCAGCCTGAATGAGGCCTACGAGCCAAGAGAAAAGCCAGCACTAGACCACTAAAGGTATCAGCTGCTCCATTTCCACCTTTGTGCTCTGGAAGCCCCATATGGTCCTTCCAGCATGGGTATACACTGCCTGTAGGTCTGCCAAAATAGACCATGGATAAGGTTAGCCAAGTCCCCTGAGCTTAGCTGACCTGCAGTGACTAAGGGGCTATCCCAGAACCTTGGAGAAAGTCCTGAGAAGTCATCTTCCTTTCACTGTTGTCAAAGCATGAATGATGCACTTCTCCAGATTGAAGGCTCAAGCCCGGAGAGGAGAGGGAATGTCCTGATGGAGCACTTTGACCTGAGGAAGCAACTAACCCTGGCTCTTACACCCACCTGTCTGCAAGGTGGTGTCAGCCCATTCCTGCCTCTGCAGGACAGCACTGGAGAAAAGAGAAGAGAAACGAAGATTTTGTGTAAAACCCTCCTCCTACCTGTCTGGTTTTGGCAGATGTTTCTATGTAGGGGATCCCGTAACTCCGGGCCAGGTCCTGCGCTTGCCGGGTTTCCACTGTCCGTGCTGGGAGGTCACATTTATTTCCCACCAGCACCATGGGAACATCATCTGAGTCTTTCACCCTCTTGATCTGCTCCCTGCAAGAGTTAAGAGGTGCTAAAGTGAAGGGAGAAAAAGGCATCAGGAGTCGGCTCCAGTACATTCCCCACCAACTTTTTGGTCAAGAATTAACAGCTACACTTTGCTCCTGCCATGTGCTTTGTGTTGGGCGTCCAGGAGAATGTAAATGACCACAGAACATGAGTAAAGAGCAAAACAGCTAGGGCACTTTTGCACATGAAAATGAAACACACCCCTGCTCTTTAAATGCAACTGTTTACAAAACACAACTTGAAATGACAATCTATAATAAGATGTGAGCTTAAGATAGTTTAAGCTAAATAAAAATGAATACTCAAGCAGTTACCTGTGTTATTTCCAACGTTTTAGATCCAAAAAAAAAAAAAAAAATTTAAAAAATCACCTGAAACCAGAACTTGCTGAGCTGAAAAAACAGCTTTTGGCAGCTATAACCTTTTCTGCAGATGCAGAGACAGTATTTGCTTCCTTTCAGTTTAGCTCAGGTCACTCAAAGTTGAGAAACCAACTGGGAAGGAAAAGATTTGTACTGCTCACTTCTTCGTTCCAACCTTGGATTTAAAACTAGGTGGGCGAGGATGAGATCTACCAGTTCTAAAAATCTTAAAGGCCATTATCACTACAGACAATCCATTCAGTTCCCTCCTGATAGATAACAACTTCCTTTTCTTAATAAATCATTTAACTTCAGATGCAAAACAGCTTTTTTTTTCCTTGCCTGTGCATCCAGAACATTTAAGATGGTTTTATTTAACTAATAAATTTAAATTTAAAATGCTGATTCCTGCATTTTAATTGAATTCAGATTTCCATCTAAAGGCAGCTGGACATGTATCACACATAAAAAAATCAATCATCTTTTTTTAATGGAGTAGAACATGGTAATGAAGTCTGACTATATGTACGATACGCCATAAAGCCACTTAAATGTTCCATGTAACATCCTGATCAGCAAATGCAAGTACTAAATTTAGTGCACGGGCTACACTTAGCTGAAAAGAGATACCTCCTAATGGTTAGTAACCAGGGAGAGCCAGCGGTTCTCTGGGGAATATTCTTTTAAAACTGAAAATACAAAAAGCACAGGCAAACCAAGATGAAAGCTGGTGATTTACATCATGATTAAAACCAGGGCTTGAAACCAAGCCACCCTGCGAGTGATTCACAGGCACCAGCCCCGGCACAAGGATGAACACTGCTGAATCCCTCAGGTGCTTTAGGAAAATCCCATCCTTTGTCCTCCAGTTAAGCTGAAACAAGCCAAATTAGTCCAGCCATACAGTTATTACACTGAACATGCCTGCTAACTGGTGAGTGAGACATCAGAACAGCTCCGAGCAGCACCTCTGACTACGGAGCAAGGAAGGGATGTGCCTGCCCTCAGAGCTGCAGGATTATCTGAGACCTGGGTTTACAAGGAGGGGCTGGGGTACATGGTCCCTTGGTGGGCAGTGGACAGAGTGGGGACAGGCAGAGCCATTTCTTGCATCCTCTGCAAGTGCCTCGTCACACCCAGGCCTCAGAACGAATGCATAAAGCAAAGAGATGCTCTCCAGCTTTGCAGGGGTGACGGCAGCAGGGGAGAGAAGCATGATGGCTAACCTGGGTGCAGCCAAAGCAGGAGCATACCGGGATGGGGTCCCTGCTCTGCCACTGCCCTCCCAGTACATCCTCCTGGGCAAGTCTCCTCAACAGGGCTTTGACTCTCCTCCTGCTCTGTCCTTGCCCTGGTTGAAACCGAGCTGTAACGGGCCAGGACTGCCTCTCCCTGCACGTGTACAGCCAGCAGACCGCAGTCTCATGCGATGGCTGACAGCAGGGGAAGCAGCCCTCCCTGCACTTCCCAGCTTCCTCGCCCAGCTCCCAGGCCCAGCAGAAGTCGCTGAGATTGATTGCACTAACAAAGCAATTCCATTAATTAGGGAGGGAAGGGAGGGGGTCAGAGAAGATCATCTCTCTCTTTAGTCACCATAAACACTTAAACATTACATTATCAAGTCCCCAAAGGCCACAAGCAATCCCTTTGGATGGGTTTTATTGGAGTCACCCACATTAGCCGTCTGCTCCACCTCTTCCCTGGGGAATGGCCACTTGAGCTAATTATCTTTGCTAGCAGCCAGTGTTTCCACCATGGGGTCTGATCTAAAAGGGAGGGCAGTAGGGTGCAGCAGCAAGGCCTCCCCTTTCCACAGTGCAAGGGGGAAGGGGCCCTTCCCAGGATACCAACCTGTACTGGTGAATATCTTCAAAGGACTTGGTGTTGTTGATGGCAAACACGCAGAGGAATCCTTCCCCCGTCCTCATGTACTGGTCTCTCATGGCACTGTACTCCTCTTGCCCTGCGGTATCCAAGATGTCTAACAAGCAGGTCTCTCCATCAATGACGACTTGCTTTCTGTAGGAATCCTGCAGGTCAAGAAAAGGAGAGAAAGGGAGAAGGATGTGTTAAAGGAGGGCCGGGGTCCAGCCAAGTGAAGGGATAAAGACCATGCGTCCCTGGGAAGATGCTAAGTCATGCTCTGTCTGGGTATGGCTCCCATTGAACAGCTGACTCAATCTGTTTCAAAAACGGGGGGAAAGGAAAAAATAGAGGAAAAAACAGAAGAAAAAAGAAAAATGGAGCAGCTGAGCAGGCCTTCCTTTCTCTGGAGAGCCACAGAGAAGACAGCCCCTGGCTTGCTCTCACCATTCCCAGTCCTGCCTCTGGCAGACCAGGGGCAGCTTCGTCTCTACCACACTGCATAGCACTTGACAACTATTTCCTAAGCTTTATTTAGTCCCAGCTAATACCTTCTGCTGCTGTCCTGCCCAGGTACTGGAAGGGGACACACAGGAAAGGCAACACTGGCCAGCCATCTGGGATCTGCATGGCTGGAAGGTGTTTAAGTTCACCTGGAAACCCAGCGCCTCCAATGCATCTCAGATCAAGCAGCAGAGGCAATATGCCATCAGTAAGGCTGCAGACTGGGCTTGATGGCAAACCTCTCCTTCAAACATGAGAGAAAAACAAAATTAAAAGAAATCATGCTGTGAGAAGAGTGTTTCCCACAACCAGTCTGTGCCCAGAGGGCTCCAGAGGAGGTAAGGACTATCCAGGCAGGTATCTTTGAAGCTGGGGGTTTTCCCTGCAACTTATCACAGCTGGAGAAGGCCTGGAAATCACCACAGGCATCCCTCAGAAAGTTTCATTTTCAAAGCCGGCTCCTCAAAGCACTGCTCCTCCCCACTATGCCTCTCACCTGTGCCCAGTTTCATCAGCAGGGATGCTGCTGCGGCAGCCCCTGCACAGAGGAACAGCCTCACCCCTCTCAGATAGCTGCCCCTTGGGCACGGTGGCAGCACCCTTGACTCCCAGCATGAGAAGGAAACCAAAACAAAAGGTATGAGAAAGGTGTGAGTCAGCATCGCGACCACACAGCGCTCTGCAGCCACTCGCAGAAGCTACAGCTGCAGTTTAAATTCATTCAGATGTCTGCTGCTCTTCCAAAGACCACAACAATGTTATCAGATGAGCTCTGCAGGTCTGCAGACAAACAGCCGATGTAGCAAAGGTCACCGACAGGACCAGCAGCGGCACACAAAGGGAATGGGGCCAACGCGGCCTCCACCCTTTGGTTCATTACAGCATCATCTTCTGGGACTAATTAATGTCTGTCTTCACCTTGTGTAGAGGGATGTGAAATCATCGGAGATGAGATCTGCTCTGCCACAACCTTCTCAGCCATGCCTTCCCAAACAGGGGACTGCTGATCCACCAGAAATAAGCGTGGAGTGATGCGCTGGCTTCCAGCCAACCACTCTGAAGGCAACTGGCAGGCTGCCCTGCAGGGATGTGCTCCCATTTCTAATCAATAATGTATCTGAAGCCTCCTTGGAGCAAGGTAAAAGAGCACTGGTTCCACCTCCGGGGTCCCAGCTTGCTCTGCCCAGCAGAGCATCCTCCCACCCCTGCGCCCTGGCTTGCATCCAAAGGACCAGCCTCAGCACACATGTTCACAATTAATTGCCAAGTCCCCGCTGACAGGAGCTCTCACCAGCAGACAGCACACCTATGGAGAAGCAATCCCATACCTTGGCTCAGGTCATCAACAGGCTGCCTGTAAGGCCAGCCAACTCACTAGGGCAGCACAGACATTATCAGTCTTGCACCCTGCTCCCCAAAGGAAGCGGACAAGCTCTCCCTACACTTGCTTTGTGCCCAGCTTCATCTGACCCCTCTCAGGGTACTTGGGATGGTGGCTCATGCTGCCAGATGACCTGCCTGCTGCTGCAGGGGTAGCTGCCACCAGCACCCTGCAGCCTCAATGCTTCTCTGCAGCCCCTCGTGTCCTACCCCACCTTCTTGTGCAAAAGACAGTGGCTGGACACAGCCATGAAGTGCCAGGCAGAAGAAACAACCTCCAAACGTCCACTTGGAGTTCATACTCATGATCCCAGACAGATGATGGGAGCAACCCATGTGTGCTGAGGTGCCAGCAAAGAGGTCCATTTGTTAAATGCTACAGTCAGGACATGACCAGAGGCTTGAGAAGCCCATTACTAGCTGAATGCTAGAAGCTGGAAGATGAACCAGTTTTTCTCAACACAGTCCAACTCATCATCCCTGCTGATTCACCATGGGACACTGCCAGTAACATACGTTTCCTTGGTGCCTTGGCCCTCCTGTTCCCAAAATAAAGGTCTTAAAGCTCAACAGGAGCCCAAGAGCACGCATGTGAGCATGTGCTGTAGAAGGTCGGCCAGCACTGGGTTACAAAGCCAGACATTTGCACCAGTGAATCAGGAGGGCAGGAGGGTAGCAGGCACTCAGTCGGAGTTCTCTGCCACGGACAGGGGACAAATTTGCTTCTCCATCCCTCCTGCCTTGGGGAGCATCTTCTCAGTGCACCCTGACCCACTCGCACCCCCACCTTTGCAGCACAACCTGCGCTCAATTCATTTATAAGCGACGGGTAACACCTTTGCTCCATGCATGTATATTTTCTTCCTTTGCCTTTTATCCTGCTCATTTCAGCATTGCTGTGTTGTTTGTTAGCCAGCTGAACAGTCAGAGTCAGCTCCTGGGCATGATCCAAAGCTGCTTAGTCACAGGAGGGTGGTTTGTTGGTCACATTCATATAGCTGGCAGGTAACTCTCTTTGCATCCTAAATCCCCATAAAATGAAGCATAATTAAAAAGAGTCACCCTAGAATGAGTGAGAAGATTGCCAGGGTGGGGGACATGGGGCACAACCAAGGGAGCTGCAAAGGCATCAGGGATGGTGGGAACTGCAAGAGGAAAAGCACCAGCAGTGAGAGGGGTGAAGAGCAGCTCATGGCTGCTTTAGGAAGAGAAGAGCACAGTGGGACTGGGAGAAAACAGGGCAGGAGAGCAGGCATCTCCCAGGGCACAGCAGGAACAGGCAGGGTGAGGAGGGTGTGCTGGGAAATGCCATGGAAGGTTTACATTCCCTACTGCCTGTTTACATGGAGAAAACTCCCTGCAGGGTATGTACAGGGGCAGGCAGCTGGAGACAGAAAAGACAGGATGCCAACCCAATACACTGGGTCAGAGCTCTCTCTGCCCACCCTGAAGTCCAAGAGAGGACCCATCCATGCAGATGTTTCCCCAAGGAGGTTGCTCTCCGCCAGCAGCTCTTTTGCCAAAACCAATCTAGAATGGGTTTCTAAGAAAAGGGAGGAAAGAAGGCAACTGCATCCCTAAGCAAAGTGCAGCAATGAGACTCAGGAGCCCTTAAATTAAATTCCAGTCTCTGCCATGGACTTTCTAGGTGACCTTGGCCAAATGATGTAATAGCATATGCTTTTAAGTGCTTTCCCTCCTTCCAGTCTGTAGGATTGCAAGACTATTTCTGCCTTTCTACTAAACCTTGTCTTGCTTTTTTAAGCTGTAAGCTCTTCAGGGTGGGGACTACACATAGAACACCTACCAGAATAGATTTCTGATCCCAGCTGGGGCCCTTTAGCCATTATGGTAATAATAACTGCAGCAACCACAGCTGCATTTTTACACATCTGGTAGACAATCCTTTAGGACTGCAGACAGGGATGTTACTGTCCAAGAGGCATGACAGAGCTGTCATCTGCCTTCCCAGGGTGGGCTTACTCCTCATGCAGAACAGCAGCTGCTGCCCACGTCTCCCCCAAACAAAGGTGTAAGTCATGCAGGGGGTAAGTAGCATCTCACTAGCAACAGTGAAAGCAGTCAGAGAATGGCATGTGTTTTTAAAAAGTAAAAAACCCCAACAAAACAACAGTATAATGGATACTGAAGACCAAACCCCCTCTCTGCACAGCCTACAGGAGAACAGGGTCCCTGTCTGCTTCTCCAGGCAGGGCGATGAGCTGGACAGGCCAGTGAACCCATCCATGCTGACTATGAGACCCATACATCAACCTTTAACTCCTCGTGATGGAGCAGAGGCAGCACTCTGGGAACCACAACAGTTCAGCAGCTCGGCACGTCTCGCTCAAACCGCAGGACATCCATAATACGACCAAGCTCTGATAAAACCCATTTCATCAGTAAATCTCAAAATACCCTGCTTGAGAAGTCAATATATTTACTCTGATTTCACAGGAGAAATGGAAGCACAGGCACAAAATGGCTCTTCAATCTCAAACCTTTAACCCTTC